CAGGCAGAGGTAGAGCAAAGAAACTATTTCAACCAACTGGAACGAGACATTAACATTCCTACCGGGGCAGTATGGGCTCAAGAGAAAGGGACAGACCAGAGAATAGATGCCAGGAGAGAGAAATGTGGCATAAAACAGCTCTCACATGGCTCTTTTACATTTGTAGGATGAGTGTTCCTCTGGGTCTTATATTGTTTAAAGGGTTATTTACCCAAATTACTATAAGAACTGTTAACTTTTCTCACCCCCAGTGGTATCAAATAGATTTGGTTTTATGTGCACAGGTTTTGAGATAACTATTTTTGAGATTTCTGTCACCACAATTCAATGGAAGTAAATGGAATTAGAGATAAAAAAAAAACCAACATGTTATAAACAAACAACATGTTACGGTTACTCTGGACAATTCACAGACCTGACTATGGACAGTTTGCATTGGAACTGCTTCCTACCAGATAAATTGTTCTTATGAAACCCTTTGACAGTGTGTTCTGTGTGACTATCCAGAGTTACATGGAAAGTTAGGAACTTATTATTTTGCCAGTGTAGTCACTGGCAAAATAATAAGTTGCAATACTTGTACATCACTTTCAAAAGTGGCAGCTCCAAAAACACCAACACTTCACATATATGTTTTCTTTATACATATATTTATTTAATATGAGTAGAAACAGAGAACAGATATTAGGGCTTAGCAAGCTCCCAGCCAAGGGTTTGCAGGGATTTACTGACCATCAATGGCTAGCTCCTTCGCTGTCTTTGTTTGGTCTGTCTCTTATTATGCTGTTTTATTTTGTAATTTATTTTTCACTTCTTGTTTTACTCATTTATTTTTTTTATGTGTGTGTGTAAAGCACTTTGTAACTGTATGTTTTAAAAAGTGCTATATGAATGAAGCTTTACTTACTTGCTTAACATTAGCCTGGGTTGCTGAACACACCATACATGGAGCAGTCCTCAGCACCCTCTGAACCAAACTTATGTGATTCTTGAGTGTAAGCTTACTGGCAGCTAGTTAGCCAGCTAAGAAGACACAGTTGGCGTAGAAATAAGAAAACTTTGGAGTTATAAAGCATATTTCTCAGCTTTTGGCTGAAGCTTGCTGCCTCCCCGCACAGGCCCATGGTTATAGATTTATTAAATTGGGATACTTTTGGGATATATGTAGTTGTAGCATTAAGCATTTGCAGCGATCAGTCATGATTACCATCTCCTCTTTCAAGTATAAAATAATAAAATGAGTGAATGATCTCTGTTGTAGGATTTCGGGACATAAAGCAAAGGCAGCAGCAGGACAGTTTCAGGAATATGAGGAAAAAAGTCCAATTTGCAAGAACATATAGCGTACCTACCAAAGAGGGTTCACCTTTCCTTCATTTCTACTTATAGAAAAAAAAAAAAAAATCACCCGTGACTTATCGAGCAAAAACAAGCCAAGGTTGGACGCAAGTCTGTTTTATTAACCGGATGACATTGAGTTTATTAAACTGGCTGAGAGGCTCCTTCTGCTGCCAGACGAGAGGGAGTTTGGCTCGGGTCCGAGACCAACTTGGGAGAGCCAGCCCAATTAACACCCGAGAGGGAGGTCCTTGCAAACACATGCACATACACTTTCTGAGCACACGCATAGGCCTTACACGTAAACACACTGTGCATGCTAACACACAGGGTATAGGCTACAGGGAGGTCTGGAGGGGCAGCAGCAGGCAAATAAACCCTCAGGGACCTGGTAGCTCATAGCTAAGAAGTCATGCACGTGCACACTTACACACACACTCTTACATGTAGGGTGGCCCTAGCTTGCCATATAAATCTCTGCCACTCACCTTCAAATGAAGTGGTGCGGTGGGCCCAGTAAATATGAGGGAGTGTGTATGTGTTTGACCACAGATGCAGGTGGAGCTGTGGTGTGGTTGGGCAGACAGTGAGCGTCGTTCCAGGTCCAGCCCTGGCAGTGCGACTCAAACACTACAACCTCACGGCGGTTATGAGCCGCGGTGAGAGGTTATGTGAAAGTGTGCCTTTGTTGCTGAATTTGCTCAGCGAATGAACTTCACTACCTGCAGAGCTACAAGTAATTATTTTTTTGCAACAGGGAATTACTGCTTCAACTTCCTAAGAAAATTGGTTGAAGAAAACAAACAAAAAACTCAACAAAAAAAAAAAGCATGTTGATGGCTGGTACACATAAGAGTTCAATTTCAACATGTTTCTGCTTTATGATATTTAATCACGAATGGATTGCAGCAGTGCTGGGCCAGTGTAGGAGAGATGCATGATGAAAGACTCACAGTGCCTACCACTGTGTGTCAATGCTTTATTGAAACAGCATGGGCTTTGTCAAAACAACTACTTCTGGTAAAATAACACATAATTTGCAAAGCTGGATTCCAGAAAACCCTAATACAATACATTACAAATACAATCAACCCTTTCCTCATCTTGTTGGTGCCTGAATGCGCGCATGCGTGTGTGTCTGGCTAACCCCCGCCGACCAGTCACAACCCGCACCATTGAGACCCATGACCAAATCTTTTTTAGACTCAAACCTTCCACCAGCATATATGCTTAGTGTTGTCACAGTAGAGACTCATTTGGGAATGCCTTGTCTGCGTGGGACAGGCATAGTTGTGGACGCCTGGCCCCTTCGGAGTTGACACTCCTGGCTGGGATCCCTGGCATCCACAGCTTCCTGATTACCAGCTGTCCCTGCCCCACTCTGCCTGTCAAATCCCAGTAACTGAGAAATAAACAAACAGTAAACAAAGGGCCTAGTTTAGCACCACCGCCCGCCACAGCATGACAACAGGTTTGTCACTCTCGCTGCCTGCCAAGGCTAACTGAGCCTTGCACTCCGGAGAGGAGTAAGAAGGCTTTTCTTCATCTTCAAACCACCGGAGGAGGAGCTGCAATCAGTGACAGCGGGTTTGTCTGCTGCCTCAAGACAAACAGCATCAGCCAAACCAAGAATAAAGACATGCAGACTGAAACAACCTAATAGCGTGTCTTTTTTGTTCTTAGATTGGGCAGAAACTCCTTGCAGCTCTGCTAAGGATGAATGCTTTGTGTCTGATGCCCACCCCCCCTCCCGCTCTCTTATTGTCTCAATCTGTGGAC